GAAATTTGATAGATCTTCATTTAGCAATCGCTAGCTTTATTAAGCAAACTAGCACGCTATTGACTGCTAATTTATCTAGTACAATAAATAATTGTCACATGGCAATATGCTAATAAGTAAATTGATGACAAATAATTTGATTTCGTGATAGCCTAATATCCCGTCTCCTTTCCGTATCCCTGTATTATTCTTGGAAGGCGGTAGTTGTATGTTCGGTTGTGAATAGTATCGTTTAATAGTACCAAACTGTAAAGCCTACAAAAATTGACACGTTGATGATGGTGATAAGGAGGAGGAGGAAGAGAAGAAAGAGGGTGAAAATCAAAATTATAATGATGGTGATGATATAAATGAGGTTGACGAGTATGACGAGGATGATTATGGTTATGATTATGATTATGAGTATGACTATCATTATAATTATGATCATGGTCATGATCACGATTACGAACAAGAAATAATCACGATCAGAGATTTTATTCAGATTAAGATTAAAATTTCATTTGTCCAATACGGGTCATTGAAATTGTATAAAAAAAAAACATTTGTTCCATATAGGCCTAGATAGAAATACACTAATATGGCAAATGAAAAACTAAAAACGAAAATGACTTAAAACAGACAAAAAACAATACAATTAAGGCATTATCATAATACATCAAAATAATAATTTATAATTAAATTGTTTAATAAAACTTAAAGTTAAAATTTGAAAATTACAAATGAAAAAACATTCCAGGTAAAATTTCAAATTACTAAGATTCAGAATTAATCAATAGGCCAAAATAAAATGCTGAAAATAACATAATTAAAAACGTGCACTATACACGATCACAATTACGATTTATGATTAGTATTAGTATGATCATGATCATGATCATGATTATGATTATGATTATGATTATTATGACGATGAGGATAATGACGACGACGATAAATGTGATAATCACGATTAACATGTTTGAAGATGAGCATAATGATCATAATGACCCTGATGGGCATAATGAAGAATTACGCGAAGATTACTCAGTCAAAATGGGTACTCCACCGTAAGCTAAGAATGTTATTTTCAAATTATAAAACATACCCCAATAGATGTCTTGTACTAAAATGGAAGAAGTAATGGTGATCACAACAATGTTAGTGCTGTGCTGGTTTACTAAATCTTGCATTATAGATGAAGCATTAACTATTCACTGTAACGATTCTGTACATATGCCCTCACAAACCATATTGTTATTTCTGATTCAATTAAGTTCATTAATATGTGCATAAGCGAATGGGCCTGCTTGAACACATACGTTATTGTGAGTGATTTGTAATATTTATAATTTGTTTACATTTTTTGAATCCGATGGAAGCACCTTCTTGAACCTTCTTCGTATATGCATTGAACAGCGGTAGTTTCCCAGTTGTTAAGAAGTCTGCATTCAAAGCAAGATACAACTTATAACACTCTTTCTGTATGTTTATGCGTTGATCAGCGCGGTTATACAGCTGCAAGACGTCTGCATGTAGGAGACAACCTATTTCGCTTTCTTTGTTTATGCGTTGAGCAGCGATAGTTACTCAGTTATCAAGACGTCTTCATTAGAAGGAGGAACATTCCTCTCTTTATGCGTGCGTTAAACAGCGCTAGCCTAGTTGCCCAGTAGTTGTTAAGACGTCGACATTTAAAGGAGGGGGGGGGGACTGGGTTCAAGACACGGTTGGGTACTTATTATACGTTTGTGTCTTAATCTGAGTGGAGTTGAAAAGCTAGGAAGTTAGGATGCTTGTCTTTCATCCCCTAGGGTCCTGGATTCAATCACTGTCAAAACAACTCCACTCCCTAAACATTATATTGAAATCTTGTTTGTGTAAAGCACCGTTGTGTATGCCTAAGTTGGTCTTGTGAAAGGGATTGTCACAAGGTAGGACAGGTATATAGGTCTATTCATTATTGACAATCATTGGTGCATGTGTTGTGATGTGCCTAAATAAATAAAGTACCGTAAATGTACTTAATTATAAACAAATATTACAATACGTATTGTTAAATCGAATCTATTGACTGAATGAATGTATTTCAAAAATGTATTCAATCAATTTAAAATAAAGCCACAATTAGCCAATACGCATATTACACTAAATTAACATTACGTCATCGTGATTCTCTATCATGAACACCATACTTTGCAATTACCGCAACGTTTTAGTTATCGCTTAAATCTCTTATTAAGGCTTCAGTGCGGAAATTTCTGGGGCCTCGATTGTGCTAAATGTAGTGCAAAAAAATACATACGTTAATTACTATTAATTATTCCGATTATTTAGCACAACATAGTAGACATTATTAAGATGATATACGTTAAAAGCAGGTTGGTCAAGTGTAGCGAAGTTTATTAAAATAGACTTTTATTCAAAATAGGCTTTCACACCTGGCACTCACACATTCCGCTGACGATCGTCGGCGGACGAGGTGATGTTGCAGAGATCGCTATGAAACGTGTGTGACGTTTTGAACAACAATCCGCTCAATCTAAACAACAATCTGCATCGACAAATCACCAATCGGGGCCCGCGCTGCGAAGATGGATTCGTCGCCAAGGTTCGTACCAAACACCAGCCCTGCTTAGAGGGAGGACGAATAACAATCACGCTATGTGGTTGCTTATTCGAAAGCGGTGCTTATTCGAGTCGCGTAATGCACTTTTTGGATTTACCCGGCTCCAATACAGCTTTTTTTTTTTTTTTTTTTTTTTTTTTTTTTTTGAAAGAGACCTTTGTTTTGCCCATTCTCTCATATGATTCTGATACTCTAATAGGGAGATTTTGCAATCTCATGAAAACGATAACGATCACGAATACGTCATTATCATTATCGTTAATCGTGCCTAAAACATTCTTGGCAATTATGCTCTACGAGCTGAATATGATCCATGACTCATGCGAAAGTCATGAATCGCCTCCGTTGTGACAGATATTTATGCTACTGTAGGGGAAGGGTTGTATACAAATTTGCTGAAGTATCCGTATTCGCTATCGTTTCCATAAGCTTGCGAAAACTCCCTATTAAGTCAACCAAGTTGGATATCTTCAATATTCCAACACGTTTTTTTTTATTCTATTATTTTCCTTTTTTTATGTCGTTGTTGCTTGTTTTCTGTGTTTGCTCGTGTCCGCTTTCATTCGCAATTAAAATGACTATCCTCCCGTCATTCCTGTGACCTCTGCAAATCTTCGACCGAAAAAAATGAGTAGCAATCCTTAATTGTTTGTAAATTAAGATTTTGAATGTTGAACACTGGATCTCCATTTTAAATCTTTATCCGAGAAGTCTTGGTTCTTGGTTCTACCAACCGAACCCTGGACGTCAGGGTGGCTCGAACCTGTCTTACCGCTCCTCGACTTGATTCGCCAGAAAATAGTTAGGAGGACTAATACCACAACTAGGATGTTAAAGCGTTGTTACTGTGCCTATGGAGAACATAAAATATTAGGTAACAGCAATGTCCTGGATCTTCAACAAAATACAGGATGATTTTCATTCCATAAATTAAGTCCAATAGTCTATTTTCCATTAGTATGCACTTTAATCAGTGATATAGGGTTGTATGAGGGTGTGTGTGTGTGGGGGGGGGGGGTGTGCGTGTGTGTGTTTCAAGGTGGGATAGGTGCGTGCAGATGTAGCGTCGGGGACCGGCGTGCCAATAAACTTGAAGGTTTGATAGGTTTTCGTGAAAAGTGAAAAGTCTTTCATCAGGAATTGATTATACAATTCAATTCAGATTTTATTTTCGGATGAACAAATCAATCAATCCAAAGCTAGTCTGCTTTACGCAAGCACTTTTATGTTGGATCATTGGAACCAACCAGGCTCCGTGACGTCACACTTCAGTTTTCTACTATATTTTGTTTTAAGGTCATGGACATTGTATTGCAATAATAGATGTGAAATTCTTGTTAAATATCTTGCACGATTCTTGGACTCGTGAGGTTTGTTATTACTAAAGCCTAATTGATCTTTGGCGAATTCTTCTCTGATTATAAAAGCAATTGGTGTAGTTGGTTTCTGACGTAGAGGCTTTTTGGATTTACCCAGTGTGTTAGAAATAACACGATGACGATAATGTGACTCACTCTGAACCAAATACTCAAGTTGCTAAATGATTTATATTATAAAAAACATATATAGGCGTGTTGTAGCTGCATCCTTGGTAATATATTACATAGGCCTACAGACATTCTGAGTTGTTGAGTGATACGTCATACCAATACTCATCTTGATGTGTATCCATATTCAAGGTTAGCACGTTTTACACTCACCCGTTTCATGATATACGATAACAAGGGTGGCGCTATTGGGGGTGGGGTAAAGCGGGGGTGCGGCAGTCCCCCCCCCCCACTTTACCAAACACATATAGGCCTACACCCTGTTTGGAGAATAAAAGTCGTTGGGGAGAGAGAAGTAAATTTTACAGAAATTTGGACTAACAATAGGCCTTCTAAAGTCATTTCTTCAGGGGATGTTATCCCCGAGGACCCCTGTGGGAAGGGGATGGGGTTCTGGGAGCCCCTTTCCCCGCCCACTTAGATTTTTGTCGAAGAAGTCAGCCTAGTTTAATAATTTAAAAAAAACTCGTGAAATTGCATGCAACATTAAATATAATTTTCTTTTTTGACGATATTTGAGTCAGCAATAAAAATGTAGCGAAATTAATTATGTAATGGATTTACAACGACGAAGTTATTTTTAGCAAAATAATGTAAAATAAGTAAAATAGATGACTACCTTATGTCGTTGATGATTTGTTTTAGTCATCTCATATTGGTAAACGAGAACGCCTATTATTTGTTGTTTTCTAATATCAGGCTGAAACCAATAAATAACAATAGATACGAAGTGATGTGCGTGTGACTCATGCTAGGCCGCTGTTAATTGGTTGATACGTGGTGATGTCACTTAGAATTTATCATAAATAGCAGACGACAGATTCTAAAGTCTTTAATTTTCAAACAGGCTTCGAATCAAATTCACAGCATAAAAGAAGACAACAAACTGAGAATATTGCAATTTAAAGCAAGTACCCTATTGATATTTGCCGAAGCACAGCAAGCTAGTAACCCGCAATTTGTATCGATTTCCTAATTGCCATTTACAATTGTGTTTGACGACCCGGTTTATTATAACAGCTAGTTAGCGTATTGATCAGTTTTGGAGGGTTGGTAGGCAGCAGACAGCAGTCGCAAATACGTTCTCTGAGCGAAATTGTTAATTGCAATTTCCTATCACTTGTCTAGTTTGGGATTGGGAAGGAACAGAGTGAACTGACAACGCAATTAACATCACCTAACGTTCGTCAAGGGTACCAAACCAGAATCAATATTTTAGTACCTGAACGATTATGTTTTATTAGATCACTCTATAATTGAAATCAAATTGTAATCACTCAGAAGACTTTCCGATATTGGACCTTCAACGTAACCATGACAATCAAAGGACCACGAGCGCGTAGCGCAAGTGCGCCGTCCCTAGGAATTGATTTCAGTGTGGAAGAGTGTCATGATGAGAGGCCGCCGCACATTATACGTGTGATATTGCTTGGTTGTTCGGGAGTTGGAAAGTCAGCTCTAATAGAGACATTTGCGTCATCATTTTGCTCCGAGTTAAACGAAGAACTCTCAACAGACCTTAGTAAGTAATATTGCAACATCTTTGTACAGTAGGTCTTTGTAAATGGTGTTTTTTTTCCTGCGTTCACATTTTACTTATAAACCCTTATTGGCCTATCATTTTCTTACACGTTTGGAACAGTAGATGAAATTACTTGTAAGATTATGACCCTAGCAGGGCCTAAACTACATTCCACCTCATACGTAAAATGCCAGCTGCTCCCTTCCGTTTCCTCATCTTTGACACGTTAAACGGTCTATATTCCTCAGTGAATCATACTGCCTCCGAAATATAGCCAAATAAGCCTAAACAATACAAAAAATTGAATCACTAACTTTGTATACAGTATTTGTATAAGTTATTAGACATTAACTGGCGGCTAGAACTAATAACTATTACGTCGACAATTAAACTGACTGGACGTTTACAATAACGTAAGACGTAATTCATTCAGAATTGACAATTTTTGTTTTCAATTACTGTATAAATACATCAAAGTTAATAACTTACGTGAATTTTGTTAAGTAAGCAATTATTTTGTGTGTGTGTGCAATTCCCACTCTTGATATTTAGGCATACAATTGACAAAAGTGACGTCAACCCAAAAATGTTGAACACAATTTTATGTTATCCAATATCATGGTCTAGTATACAATCCTCGTCGTGTTCACGCCAAAAATCGCACGTACAATGTCACACATCTTGCGATCCGAGTGTGTTTATTTAGCAAGCATTCGTGGAATAGAACAACAGAGCTTTCATCTTATCCAAACATAGGCCTAATATATTTGAGAATCATCTAGTGCTCCGTGTGCTTTTGTTAATCATTTACCACTTGCAGTAGGCCTAATTATGCTTACTATAATCTGTAAACGCACAGATACTAGAAGGCACTTAAAATTATCTCTTATGGATGTAAGCTTATTATATCGAATTATTCGTTACCATGTTTTTTTTTTTGTTTTTTTGTTTTTTTTGTTTTTTTTTGGGTCGAGGGAATTGGTCTTCTTATATGAAATGCAACGCCAGCCGGGGTCCAATTATTTTGTAGGGAAAAACTGCTAATATAAGGAGATATTGAACCCCTCGTCCGAGACCTTCGACCACACTGCGTCGGCTGACGTGATTTCATTGGTACCGACTTAATTCTTACAGACTATAAAGATTTTGGTTTCTCTTCTACAATTAAAAACAGTTAATTGTGAGTGTCGATTATACAGATTTTTATGAGATGATCAAGATGGTAATGATTTTTCATGATGAAGATAATGTTCATGATGATGAAATAAAACTGACATAATTCGTAGTATATATCTTCACCTGAAGATTTACAGACCAAACACATGCGCTTTCATAAATTCCCCAAACGAATCTTGTATAAATCGACATAGTTAACACTAATACCAATAATCGACATAATAGTTATGAAGATAGACATGACAATATGCCTGTCTCTTATACACATCTAGATGTGTATAAGAGACAGAGGCCAGCGCCCCCCCCCCCCCCACCCCGTCAGGGTAAAAAAAGCACAATTCGTTAGGAAGAAAAAATATATATTTTTTACATTTAAATGACTATACAGTCGATTAAATAAGCCTTTGAAAACCCTAAATTGTCATATTTTTCGGGGGTTTCGCCCCCTGGAACGCATACAAGATATTTTGAGCGACGTCTCACCACGCCCAATTTTCATCGTCGGCGACATCTGCCCCCTCGGGGACCTCGGACGCCCCACCCTCCTGCCAAAATCATGGCACCACCACTGACAATGTTTTCAGTCCTTTGCTAATCGAAAGTATGTTAGCACTGGTGACTTTATATAAGATCCACACCATAGTACGCTGTCTTCTGCAGAAGTGACACAATACAATATCATTGAGAGTGATACGAAGTATTGGCTTTCCAATATTGTAATTTGTGATTGATTGTTTAGGAGTACTGTAATGTAAAAGACAATTAAAGACTGACTTGGTCCCTGGGAGTATCCAGGGATACTGCAGTGATGGTCTGTGTTGCTTACACATGCGTACGGTACTTGATATGGCACTCCAGTTCAAATTGACTGTGAGTACAATTATGCCTACTACTCATTGTAGTAATGGTATGCCTGGACCATGGTGGCAAAAATGATCAAAATAATAAAGTGGTAAAAGTATAAAAAGGTCGAAACTTGAAACCATGGGCTCACAGGCCGGACTGCCCGCCTCTCTTTCTTTTGGTGCTTGAGCCAAACAGAACAAGGCTGTTAGGGTTGGGGTGGGGATGAGGTTTTGCTACTTCTTCCGTACACATTTATACTTTTGGATAGACAGAGACAAACATGAAAAATTGTCTTGCCTAAGGACACAAGCAACTTGCACAGTCTGGTGTTTTGAACCCCCGCCTGGTGTTTTGAACCCCCATCCTCAAGTTTTTTAGAGTTCGAGTCACAACTGATTGTCATATGTGATTTATAAATAAGAATACCAAAAAAAAAAACAAAACAATAACGTAAAAATAACTTTAACTTTAATGATTTCACCAGCCAAGCAAAGCCGTCATCATCATCATCATCATCATCATCATCATCATCATCATCATCATCATTTTTAATTAGGCCCCTATAGGAGCATAAGAGGAAGTTAGTAATAATGCCTAATGTTGAAAAAAACATTACGTTAGTGTTTCTTAAGCTGATGAAAATCCATCTCGTCTCTGGACTGTAAACTGGCTGCAATTATTAGTTTGTTAATTAGGTTTAGTGTTCTGCTTCATCATTTTGGGATTAATGTTATTGGATTGGATCATTACTTTATTAGTATAATTGATGTTAAATAACACATCTCATTTTTAAATTATTGTTAACTAGTATGATACTCTTATACTTTGTCTGATTTCTGTATTATTGGCAAAAGAGGATTCGATGAAATAATGGATATAACCGATTATAAAAGTCGAATAATTTATCAGACTGTTTAAGAAAATCAAATAGAAGCACGTAGCGGATTTAAAATTAATTCAGAGATAAGTGGAAAAACGTCCGCAGTCACACAAGCACGAGTTAGATGCATTTAAACGTAACCATTACTTTCGAGTTAAAAATAAAACACTTTAAGCATCGGTGTTTGTGCACCAGTCCTCGAAAACAAATTGAATTGTTCATTGACACTCAATCTGCACCTCCGGGTTTATGCATACAGTATTCAATTCGAAGTGTAGAAAATTTAACTTCAAATATAGTTCGATCGAGACGTATGTAAACGTATCTCGCGAATCAAAGTCGCAGTTTCATAATAGAAGCTTAATGTTCACCTCTTCGCTAAGGAATACCGTGGGCTGTTCTTCGTCAAGGTGCTGATGCTGATCAGATAGCGTCGAGGTTAAATATCCCCCTGCGAATGGGGATATATTCATCGCGGTCGGATAGCCTCCGCTACTCGGGTGTAATCGTGGCAGGGGTGGCGCCAGAGGGGTGGCTGGGGGACCAGGGCCCCCGTCGGGGAGAAAACCACAATTTGTCGGGGAGAAAAAAAAATATATGTATTTTCTACAGATTAGTAGACTCTAAAATCGATTAAATAAAACTTTGAAACCCCTAAATTGTCTAAATTTTCGGGGCATCGGCGCCCCCGTTGGGGATCTAGGACTCCCCGTTGGGCAAATCCTGGCGCCACTCCTGAATCGTGGTTTGGTATGCTTCTGACATTTTTGTTTTGCATGGTCAGTTAACATCGCGGCCGTGCTGATGTTGCTGGTTGGTTCACACTTACGTTAATAAAACTAGATGATTCGTTTTATCGGAGGTGTCGCGCTTGCTAATTTAGAAAATGCGTTAACAATATAATTGACAGTGATTTCGACCGAGAGCAAACATGTCCGCCTTATTTAGAGTACATTTCGACATATACCATGCGACTTGAATCAATTGGGTATTTTTCCTAAGTGTTATTGATTTATCATACAGAATTATGTCCCTAGTGTGACAACGTACACAAATAATAAACAACTGGTATCAAAGTTAACTTGCGGGAAATGGATATTATTGATACCTCATGTGTATGTAGAATTCAACCTAAATATTCAGTTGATTCTACATATCGAATTTAGTAGTGCTAATTCAGCAACAAATGCCTACTATTTAACAAATCAATCAATCAATCAACCAATCAAATCAATCGATCAATCAATCAATCAATCAGTGGCACTTTACAGGGCCTTATTATTATGTAATAAAAACATACACCGGTACGGTATAGCACTAATACCTACGACATGGCGCTAAGTCGTGTTACACAATGTAAAGTATTGAACACAGACAATTAAAGGTCTCAATATTACAAGTTAAGAGCGTTGCTTCTAAAAGTCAAACATATACAATACAGGATAAGGTTTAAGTTTACTTAGATTCGCAGCTGTAAAAGCTTAACGTATATATGTTTATGTGATTATTGGCAAAAGTTTTTGTTTGTGCCGTGTAAATGAGAGGTTAGATGTAGTGCATCATTCTAATTACCCGGATGTATTTTGCGTGAAGTCTTAACCTATCGTTCTGGACATCATTAGGATAAGACGCATAGATATAATGCTACATTGCAGATGCTTCAAACTCGTTTTACAGCTGGTTTAATTAATCTAGAACATTGGTCATTGATGGAAAATTCTGGCACGTATGATACATGGAATTGGTATTTATATTATTAAATCGCATTGGTTGTGTGCGGTATGGTGAATCTAGTAGATTCATATATTATACTATAGTAACTTACTGTATGAAGTAAGATCTAATAAAACCCTAGAACAGGCGATAAAAAGAGACTGATTTATTTTTTGTAAAAAAAAACAAAAAAACAGCAATGTGATTAAGATTACCAAATAAAACACATTTCAAATTAATTAACTTTTCGCTGAATTAAAACATTTTGAGTACAAAATTCCTTAAAGTGAACGGAATTAGGCCTGCCTATAATGTCTATTAATTAATGAGGAAAATATTTTCACGTTGGAAATGTCCAAGCAGGCTGCTGTAACGCATTTAAGCCGGCTCCGGAAAAAAAGAGGAAGCTGTCGATTTTCTTATTGGACTGTAAATCTTACCCTGCCAACCAACACAGAATTGATTTCTGTGTAATAATTTGGCTATTTTTATTTAACTATTTTATTTACATAAATTTCTATTATATTGAAGCAATTGTTTAAAAATATCATAAGGTAAATATTCAATAAGTAAACAAAGAGGCATAAGAAAATCAAAAGATGAACACAATTTTATTATTGCAATTATTTAAAAAAAAATAGAATTATATTGAAAGTCTAGATTTCTCAAATCATTCATACCTTTTTTCGCAAAGATACAACTCAAATGTCTAAATTAATGTTTATCACTTGTTTATTTAAACTGTATTTATTTTTTGTATATAGTCCCTACATCTTTCTTTTCCATATTTTTAATTGGTTACTTTTTGCTATTTGTTGTTATATTTTCGCTGCTTTTATATAATATGTTTGTATCTGTATGTATTGAATTGGTTACATCTAAACAAAATTTCTGGGGTTTCTTTTTTTACTTTTTGAATCTTGAATTTATTATCAATTATTGAAAAACGTAAAAAGTCAATATTCAAAAACTAAACAAAGAGGCATAAGAAAAAAAAAACATCAGAAGATAAAAATTCTGATTAGCCTAAACAAAACAAAAAAAAACAAAAACGGCCATACAGGTCAGGTTGGGGATAAATCAGGCATGTCGAGCAAGTGACAAGCAGCGGTAAGATTGCGTCGATCGTCTTATTCGCCGGTTTACAGATACATTATTTGATGCCTATGTAAAAAGCAAAGGAAATACTGTATGGGCCTACTTCATCGCAACATTAACCTGCCAATTTATAAAATCATTCTTTATTAAAGAAAACACTATAAAAGAATGTCACAAAAAAAACCCCAGGTCATGACTTAATTAGGCACATGCAGGGTGGAGGCAAAAAAGAGACACACAAAAAAAACAACAAAACAAATGAATAACTAAAGTATAAATCCACCTCCTCTATTCAACAATCAATCATCTATTTGAATATTATACTATATGTGTGCGTAAACCATACTTTTATCAGTCTGTCTGTGCTAGTCAATAATTCGGAATTATAACTATGTCGAACACGTTGTCTCATCATCTATTCTATCTTTTATAAGGATATATTGTTTTAATGTAGGCCTATATGTACCGTATTTGCCACTGATACAAAATGTTACAATAAAGATGATAAAAGTATAGTTTACGCACACATAATATAGTATAATGTTCAAATAGATGATTGATTAATTTAATATCCATCACATAGGCCTATTTCTTACATATTATTATCAGTGATACCAATGGAAACCTGGCTATCGTTTCAAACACCATTATTGTTTTTTACGCGCACTGGTCTATTACAAATCAGCTATTTCACAAGATACAGGAAGAATATTGAAAACATATTGGGATAGCTGCCTTTTGGGTTTGCGTCTAATGCGAGCTAGTGAAAACTAAGCTTTAGATGTGCGGCTGAACGTGACTTAAGTCCTCGACGCAAACCATCGCGCGCGTCTGCGTTTAAATTACACAGACCCGAATCGCGTCTGGTTGTGCCTCGTACGACGCTGTCGGAGTTGGTCTTAAGTGAGCAACCATACTATTGCCTCCATGCTATAACTGTAATTATTAAGTTAAAAATTAATTAAAAAGTGTTTTGGAATAATCAATCATTCCGCAAAGCCCCGCCATTTGTTGGTAAGATCCAAAATGAGAGCGTAAATTATACGTAAACACATGGGTCTTATGGGGTAACACGTGAGTTTATGGGACAAGTGCGTATTCTTTACCTCTTCATCGTTGTTAAGTTTGATTGATACTCTGAAAAAGGTGTACAACGGCGTACAAAAGTTGTCTTTTTATTTTTTCATTTAAAAGAATTAAGCAGAATATATTTTGCATATTTTGTCACAATAACCTTTAATGCCGTAAATTTATAATACAGCTTTCATTGTTTGTTTAATACGATTAACATTTTATTGTGTTTTCTTTTCTCATTAGATACAATGTGCGATATTTATGAGAGGAAGGTTATGGTAGATAATGAAGAGGTCGTTATTCAACTCATAGACACACCGGCGTATGAACTGGTAAGTGCATTGTAAATTACATAAATTAAAATATTATATTTTGTATTATTATATTATATACGTTCTTTAACACTTTTCTAAATGATTTATGTAGGACTGACATCAGAAACTCTGATATAATATGGATGCTCACTTCACATAAACTGTACCTAACATTTAAATTAAACAATGACAACGGACAGTATAAAACAGTAATTATGCCTATAAGACAAGCAATCCATAGAAATGTTCATCCATCTGACACTTATGGGATGCTTCCACAGCATCCATGCTGTTGTTGAAGTAGCTGTTGAGAGAAGGTCGTAATATTAATAATATAGAGTTGCGTACTCAAGGGAGGCTCCCCTCCCTACAGAACAATAGGTTGTGTCGATTATAACAAAATTGAATTGGGAAAAAAAGAAAATTATATTCAAATTTAAGTCTAAGAGTGCCATGTAGAGGTGCCCGTCATAAATGTTCTTAAGTAGAAATAGAGTGGTCTATGTGAAAGTCGACAAGTTGAGCCGCCGGAACTTATTCGTTCTTGGTACTGTAGTTTGGGATGTATTTCATTTTATTTACTCAATTATTTCAATTTATTTAATACTCGGTTTTTGCACTGATTTATTAAATATTTTTGGGACGCATTTCAATTTATTTACTTGTTCTTTCTATCGTTTTAATTTAAATTTTGTGAGTTCAGTCAGCTTGCCAGATAGTAAAAAAAAAACTCCATACATTCTTATCATTTATCAATAATTTAATTAAATAATTTAACAAAATAGTACAAATAACGAATAAGTTAATTGAAATACGCCACAAACCAAACGTAAATAAACACATTTTAATACGATTTTGCAATTATACAACTTCATTTATTTTTATAAAAATGTAGTACATAGAATTACATTTTTAATACGATTTTGCAATTATACAACTTCATTTATTTTTATAATCAAAATTCTCAATTTTCAATTACACAATTATACATCACAAACGGCAATACGAGCAAATCAACGACTGACAAGACTGTGGGATGAATATGTAGCTGGTATCCGGGGGGGGGGGGGTTCATTCACTGATGATATCGGCAAGCCGACTACATTCACTGAGAGACGCGCTTGGCGTTATAGAAATTACCGGCGGCTCAACTTGTCAGCGGCTCAACTGGTCATATCCCGAAAGTCCCTCCCTAGAGCCACCATTGATAATACAGATCAAGATGTAAATTGTACCATCTCACATAGGCATCGGCTGTCTAAACTTACAGTAATCATTTGCAACTACCACTGGGCATAATTATAGACTCTTATAGACAACATTTAGAAATAGGTGACTAAAAATAGGTTTTGTCGAGATCCTTTAATACAGAACATCTCTAAACAAAATAACATATTTTCTATTGTTATTTACTGCGTTATTTATACATAAACGTATATCCACCCTAATTAATGCAGCTAGCTTTCTTGATACTACTAATTCAAGAAAACAGTGTTGAGTTTATCTTGCTATTTATACACGATTGTTGGGAATGTACGGTAGGCCTAGTGATCGAATGAGACGTTTTAGGAAGATTTGTGGGAGATAAGCGTGAGAGACTTTTGACGTGTTAATACTCTATGAAGCATTGCTGTACTCAGTCATACCCAACTTTGTATTCAATACAAAGGACCAATATACTCTATGTTTAACCCGACGTGGCGATCAATCATATTGTAACAATAGGCGGCGATTACTGTCAGCGCATTACATAGACCAGTTAGCGAAATGCTATGGGATTCGACTTCGGTGCTAGATGGCCCACAGATCTGTAAAACTCAAAACTAATTCCAATGCCTTGTTGAACAGTGTACTGCCTATACATATTTTGCTAATAAGTCTGTTGTAACAATAATTACTGGCTTTATATAACTTGCTTAAGGCGGAGGTATAGACCTAATATTTCCAATTGAATCAAAAGTTGTGAACAACACTTTAACGTTTACTGTGGACATTGATAGATACCATAGTTGTTACCTAAAAATATTCTACAAAACGTACTAAAAAAACTCAATGTTAGCGTGAATGGTAATGGTAATGCCATGGTAATGGTTGGAGACTTATATAGCGCATAATACATGTTCTCTATGCGCTCGGGACTAGTTGCACTTTACAATAGCTTTCTCCTCTCCTAAGGGTCACTTCATGTCTTCAGCAGCCAGTAAACCGGCGCACTTTCATCTGTACGACAGTACTCTTCGCAGGTACCTATAGTGTTGATGTTTTTTTTAGTTTTCCATTTTCATATAATTATAGGCCTATATAATAACAGATAATAACAGTAAACACATCAGGCAAAAGACGACTCTATTCGTTGGATATTATTGAGCCAGTTGGCTTAGCCATTTGTACACAGCATATCCCCTGCAAAATCAATAATTGAGTTACCATCTTCAAAAGAGATTTATTGTTGTTGATAGACAATTATTGTATTGTGTGGCGACGATGCACGGAAAGACAACGAAGAACAAAGATGCAGCGGTTGTGTAAACACAATATACTGTAGCTGCAACCATGGAGAAAATATATTTATGTAAAAATTTAGGACAAAAAAAATATTTTCTTTGTGCTGCAACAAAGAAGGTCGTGAAAAATTGACATAGGTCTACTTTTTTTTTTTTAAAGAATTATTTTGTTTGTAACAGTGTCATCAGCAAGTGAGAGGGTTTACCGACGATTAAATAAGAGTAATTAAGTAGTTGCTAAATACAACCACTTCAGCCGAGGGAGGCGTGGCTTCGTATGGTGACGTCATGCATAATTTTAGCTGTAGTACGTATTCATTCCTAATTTTCTCGACAAAATAGTGGGTCCTGGTAATTACACGGCATAGCAAAATATAATACCGTATAAACAATGTAAGAAAAAATAGTTGTCCCTGAGTGTGCGTTTTTTTTTTGTTTTTTTTTTTTCCAAAATATTAGGATCCGGTACCCTGGAATATTATCAAGTGTGTGTGAGTGAAATAATACATAATACTTTTAGGGGTAGGGATTAGGCCGTAATCACAGAAGGAAATGAAAACAATCAATGGTACGCTTACTAGTCTGAATTTTCTAATTATTTTAATCGCATGAACAATTTACCTAACTGGAAGCAACGACGGACCTAATAAATTAAAATTACAACTTTTACAACATGATTGCTGAAGATTAGATTCATTATTTTTATTGTTTCACTGCTTTTAAACAAAATTGCCGGTCGGGCCTATCATAATATGTATTCCAGAAAAACAGAAAGGGTACTGACAGAAAGTTAATATATTTATTTTAATTAAATATGTGAACTCTCCCATGTCTGTACTGTAATCAGTAGGGGAAAGCCAGGGTCTTACAACAGATTCAGCATGGGCCTAGACTACATAGTAGACCTGTCACGCCAAAATTGGTCAGGGCCAAAAAATGTCCAGCGGACCGATTTTGGCGGCCAAAATCGGTCCGCCGGACTACTAAAATCGGTCCTCCGTGTTGATTTTAGACGCTAAAACCGGTCCCGCTTGGATAAAACTGGTCCGCGTCGGCCTGCCACTTGATTTGTAACACGTCTGCTGCTCGTGGGTATGATTGTTTCTCCCGTGGAGTGGAGGAAAGTAATCTATGCTTCTCCCACACTTGCAAAGTCTTTTGCAGTGACAGAATGATTCGTTAATCTTTTGAGGAAGTGTTTCATCAAACCCAACCCACCAGATAATGCATTTCCTAGGCCTAAGCGATACACCCAGCGTGCATAATTTTCGGCGGCCGTGGTTAGGCCTACGTTTGGGCCTAAAATGAAACACAAGACTGATTTTAAGTTTTAAATATTCCGGATTATTGTGTGGGGTATTAGGTCATACAATAGATGTTCTAATAAGGGGGTCAGCATTCTTGGAATTAAATGCATGTAGGGACTTCGTAGCGACGTTAAGCACACACAACCAAAACAAAACAGGGTAAAAAAAAAACTACAGCGGACCCACACGATTTAAGACCACATCGTTAACTTCTTTTCGTACTTTTACACCAAAGGGTTTACTGGGCGCGAAGCTTTACTTAATTTTCACCTATGATTTCACACATATAATAACGAATGAAAACATGTTAGGCTATATAATGAGAGATAAGATATTTATCTACCATTTGATTACAAAAAAATATGAACAAACGTTATAAAAATACAAGTTACAACTACTAAATGGACGCCAGACCGATTTTGGCTTGTGTGGACTATATTTGGCAGGTAATTTTAAAGCCTAAATCGGTCCGGCGGACCGATTTTGGCCCCGGACCAAATTTTTCCTGACAGGCCTACAGCGCGACCGGGTAACTGGACTAGGCATGGGCTAGGTCTCTACCGAAGATGCCTCCTAGCAGGCCTAGTCCAGTAGATTTTCGATGGTACACACTAGTTGGCCCTATCGTCTCGTGGGCTCAATCGGCCGTCACCTGGCCGTAGCAGCAGCACGAAACTAAACCTCAGCCTGCTCGCTAACGTCACATTGGTCACACGGCGATGTTTCGCGATGTTTCAGGTAGACGGTATATTATGCATGACGTCACCATACAAGCCACGCCTCCCACGACTGAAGTGGTTGTACTGTACGAGTACTGAGTTGTTGAGTTGCCAATTCTAAATTCAGTATGGCATGCACTGACTGCAATAAAAGCTTGTCTTTCTTAGTCTTCGGACTGTAACCCAGGCCAAGCTCTCTCTTGAAACATTATAGAATAGGGCCTACTCCCCGGGACTCTCAGCACGTTAATGCTCCTTCGGCGTCGCATCCAGAATTATCGGATTTACATGCCGCAATTAGGTTGACATTGCCTATTTCTTAAAATGTATATTACCGGTAGACTACAAACGAAAATGTCTTCACTGACTATTAGAATGCAATTTCTAATCACAGTGTGTTTCGTTAACTTTCTCTACTCCATGAACCATCCTAACGATAAATGCTCAAATAAAATACTTTATTTCCTTTACTAGTTTTATTGTCCGCGTGCATGGCATATGCAACATCTTCGTGTCTATATGACGATGTGGTCAATACAAGGTGTCATTTTTCAAACTTAGAATTGCAAATTGAATTGTGACAAGCCCGGTGACAAGGTCCCCAGGCATAACGTTCCCCGTACTTTTCTGTTTATTAATTCAATGTGGTCGATCAATCTATAGTTTGAGAGTAAGCCTACTTTGGGTAGAGAAGGGGAACGAAAGGCAAATGGCATCTGAACCATATCTTGAGCAGCTCTGTGAGAAATTTGATATGCCTATTTGATTGTTTGATAATCCATCATTCTTATTAAAGAAATAAAAGAAATGAATTCTGAAAATAGTGACTAGGAATACTTTAGAAAATTCTGTTGACATTTTTCATCCCATTATTTACATTTCTGACATAAAGCCCACCTAAGCATACCGCTATACCACAATGTTATCAACTAACCTGTACGATAATTAACGGAATAGTGGGATTATTCTTTGTACAGAACCCTTTTTTAATTAGTGTCATCAACAACGTGGCTTAAATCATAAACATAATATCCTAGTGAACAGACCTACAAGTCTAGTTGCATGACACACCGTCCCGGGTATATATTTATAGGCTATAATTTAAAGAAATGGAATTCTTTGAATGCACGTGTTCTAAGTTTAGGCTTCTCTATCGTTATCTGAGCGCTAATTCGTTTTGTGATTAAAGACTTGGCATGACAAATGATGTTTTATGAGCTGATCTTGTTCAGTGATGAGTTGTCATTTCTGATAATAAGTATTGATTGCCACCTACATTTGGATGGTACAGGCCAACGTCAACTGAACAACTCAATATTCGTGGCAATAATTAAGTACAGTAGGTCTATGTTCTTGTTGCTTTACGGTATTTAAATCTATTTAAATAAGACGCATGTAATTTCTAGTTTGATATCTTCCAAATTAGGTCAAACATTTTGAGTATTCAATACATATGCCTATACATGCATAAAATTATGCCGTAACCTTTCGTGAATATGCACTGTATACGGTACTAAACCGCGCTCACGTCGATCCGGACACATGCTGGGTCGGTAGACGGTCGTACGACCAGTGGGGGATTCAGGGGGTAACGTTTTCTTTTTTCTAAAATGGAGAAAAAAGGATAATTATAGTCAAAGTTAAGTCTAAGAGTGTCATTTCCGTCCATCTAGAGGTGCCATAATTATAAAATTTTCTTACCTCAACCCAGATGGCTAAGGTGGTCTAGATCCTCCATCTGGAAAGGCCACTCCCTGGGCCCCCTCTGTTTCAAATTTCTGGATCCGTTACTGACTACGAACACATCTCTGCTCTCTGTGACCAAGCGACCCCGCCTGCTGAGTGTCGGTGGCAGGCTAAGCCGATTGCCATAGAAAAAAAAAATCCCGTTTCGCGCGCCTTGTCGCATTCTCTTTTTCGTAGTGGAATAGTTGGCGAAGTCTCTGGCCGACTTTACGGTTATTATATCAACAGCCAGCCAGGATCTTCTTTACGAGTTCAAGTAGTAACGGTTTGCAATCATTATGAACCATGAACCTATCCATTTTAACGTTCCCGTTCGTCATTAGAATGTACACTCAACGGAAGCCAGGAATGTCTGTGTAGTAAGCCTATCATAAGTTTAAGTCAAAGGGATTTGATCAATAAACATGAAACACAAATAATAAACCCGCTGTCATTGTGTTCACGTAACAAGATGATCCTGTCTTAAAGGACATATGTCGAGATATCATTGTAAAAAGAAAATTAAAAAAAAAAAAAAAACCTATATAACATATTTTATATTTGACTTCGACTTGTTGACCTTGGTTGGGACCAATAAAGAAAGCCAGAACAGAGAATGAGATAGTGGGAACTATTCGGCCATTTATTCACGATAATTGTAAAACAGACTAACCAAAAAATGGACCCAAGTTGGGGCATACAAAGCGCCACCATCTCTCAAACATAACAGCAATTGAAGAAGGAGTAACGCCGTAACGGGGTGGAGATGGGAGTGTTTTAAAGTGCAAATAATAACAATAAAACGAACCTATCCACCGTGTTGGAGCTATGTTCAATCAAATATGGATCCCAAGTGTCGAGACTTCATGGCATACCGTATCGTACTTTTTTACCCTAGCCTGACCCATATTACTCCTCCTTTACAGTTACAGATCAGTGCGTGTGATCGTACAATAGGCCTAATTATTAAAATTACATTTTAATGCTATAATATTATTTTATCCTCAGAAACTGTTTGAAGAGAATGAAGACAGTTACTTAACTGCGGGCGATGCATATTTGTTGGTGTACTCAGTAACAGATAAGAGAAGTTTTAGGAAAGCTTGTGAACTGAGATTCAAACTTCGGCGAACGAAAGAGACGGAAACAGATCCTATAATTCTTGTTGCAAATAAAACCGACTTAGAAAGGTCACGGGAAATTCAATATGAAGGTGAATATAATAATTATGTAAACTATTACAATTCTAATTAATTTAATCTTTATTGATCCAATATATTAAAAAAAAACATCATAAATACTTTGTTTATACACTGCAATTATATATAAATAGTTAGAAAATTCAATATATATAAAAGGTTAAAAAATTCAAATATACAATTCAAAAATAAAAGTAAAATTAGATAAATATTGTACAACTTAATTAATAATTTACATTTTTACCTCACATGAACCTGACATAAAATGAACCCTATTTACTAACACTGACCTATAAACTTGGTGTGAATCTGAACGTTATTAATTTGACCTCTGAACTTGATATTACGCTTGACATGTCAGTGCGACTGTCTATAACAAGAGTACAAACATGTTTATCACGCCATTACAGAACAATCTTACAGGTCTAATTATTATTATAAGACTTATGAACATACAATCCTCCAGATCACTGGACCTGATATTAAAATGGAAATTGTGTAAGACCCACAATCACATGCTGAAATGCTATTATACCTCAAGATTCATTCTTTATTCAAGTACACGTGCGTCCAATATCTAAGTACTATTAAATATTAATGTTTTCAAGCGAATACAATTTAAAAAATCCAGTTTACCATAATAGCAGCTTGCAGAAAATAAAGGTAACATATGAATTTATAAATAAATAATTAGGACCTTTAACTAATGCATATTGTTTTTAATGTGAATTTCATAGAGGGACGCCATTTTGCGGCTACATTTGACTGTAAGCTTGTGGAAACATCTGTGCCGTTATCGCATAACATTGACGACTTATTCATCGGCGTCATCCGCCAGTATCGCCTGCGCAAACACAGATCAGATGACCTCGACATGAATCAGAATAAAGAGAGCCCACGTAAAATGTTACAGAAACGCAGATCGTCTCTGCTCAAGCGTGCACGAGGAATGCTGGGAAGGTTGCTGCGCAGGAAGCACATCAACGAGCCCGAGGGTTACAGATCAAGATCAAAATCATGTCACATTTTAGAGGTGCTGTAAATGTGTGGAATTTCTGGTCTGAGTTAATAAGAATGATGGACTTCAAAAACTCTAAGCATTATACGTAATGTTCCAGTATGAGCTACCATTAAAACAAAAACATAAAAAAACTGATCGCTACGAAAACCGTATATTTTGATACAATGTAAAGAATGTACATAGACAAATGATATGCCGAACTTTACGAGGAATTCTTCCGCCTTGGTCTGTTTTTAAGTAATTTATTTTACTGTACCCGTGCGAATAATGATTTCCCCCGCGACCATGTATAATTATGTTTTAATAATGTTGTACAAATGAATTGTATGATATTATAAGTTTATTTGAAGAAATAATTAGGAACGGTTTCTAAGATACGATTTTTATTTTTAATTGAAGAAAAATTGAAGAAAACCTTTTTCTTTCGGAAGCTGTTTTTTTTTTTTTTAAATCTAGAGACGAGGCCTAAAAAATATGTTTTAGTTAGTTGCTATACCGTACTCTGTGTAGTGCATATCATTTTACTGAACCCGTTGTTTAAGGATATTTTTATATAACTAAATGTATTTGCCGAAGCAGCTAGTTCACACTAGACTCAGTCGCAGTTTATATGAAATTCGTAATTAGTCCAAAGCTTTCACTTCATAAGTTGACAAAGTAATCGATTATAGATAGAACATTAGGCCTATTTCTTTTTTAACCATTGTAAAATTGTAAATAGTAGGCCTATATCAAATAGACATGAGTTATTTGTTACTGCATTTTCGTTTCACAACCTAATTTTTATGGATGATTTGTTTTAAACTTGCATAAATTGACAGAATATAAATATTCAGAATTCATGGTGGGCCACTGTAATAAAGTCACAAGCAATTATTCTATAGCATGACCAAAAATAGGGTATTTTTAGTGTTGTCAAATAATTAATTATTAGCAGCAATTTACAACAAACACTAAATAAACAACATATCATGTTAATAAAAAATAGTGTGTAGGCCTAATATGTTGAGGTACATTATGGAACAGGGTTGAGAGGTTCAATTTAAGAGAGGATTTTTTTCAAATGTTACCCTCCCCAAGTTATATGCCTCACAAGAATGTTGGTCCCTTTAAACCATACATTATTAGACAACACATGGAAAGAGACCATAAAACTCTAATAAACGTTACGTAATATAGGCCTAATTAAAGTTAAAGTATTGTATCCCTCTCTTTGATCTCAACATCTCTCGTTTTGCCTGCCGAATCATGTTAAAATCCATGGATACGTCGCCGCACAGTGGCCCAGGGCGAAATCAAATTGTGCCAAAAGTCCATTTTGGTGACAATCACATGATTGAAGAAGGGTATACCCTGGTGAATCTATCCTGAAAATATTTTACATTTAAACGAATTTTAAGGGTGGTATTTTTCAACAAATGTCGGAAATTTCTCTATAAATATTTCAAATGCTATAATTGACTATATTATATCAAAACACGTTTTTTTTTTCTTACAGAAAATTCGGAATTACTTTAAAATGTACACGTTTCTTGTATATAAATTGGGGAACACAAATATATGTTTTGGTTTAAATTTGAAGTTTGCATCAATAATAAATCGTTGTTTAAACGGCAGAAAAAATATTTAAAAGTTTAGATTCATGTGGATTCATGCTTTAATTTGTACATAACCATCTTCAGTATAGCCTTAGCTTTATGATGGTACCAAATTTAGCTGCTACTTTTTGCAACTTTGCGAGCTAGATGCACTTTTATCAGTCTTGTTTTCGCACATTTGAGACACAGTTTAATTAGAGCAAACCACAATCAGTAGGGATGTACGCACTTCTACTCAACCAGTTCATGCAAAGCGTGGGGAAAACACTCCAAAAATTGACAAACTGCTCGTGATTTAACAGTAGCAAATCTTGTAATATTTTGTTGCTGTTTAGAATACTTTATTAAATTTGAGCAGCCTAATAATCCAAATATATATCATAATGAAGATGATATCTACAAGCAGGCCTATATCTAGCCGTCAATTGTTTTTAACTTTATTCAAAAACACCCAAGACTTTGAAAAGCTTCCAGTTTCAACTTAAGAAGAGATGAGCTACTACGCGAGTAGTAACGACCTTCCCAACAAACAATACTATGTTATGATAACGTGACAATAACGTTACAGTTTTGTGTTGAAAACTTGATTTTGTAGAATCATAAATACGTACTGAACATAATTTCAAAACTTTTGCACATTCCTACAACGTTGTGTAAACGTCATTTTGTGACATACCTAACCACAACGTTCGCCACGAACGTTATTAGAACGTAAACACGTGTTTGCCGGGTTTCTAAACAAATAACTCGTGGCTTGACAACATTTTCGAATAAAGTTATTATTGTTTTGACACAGAACAGAAACATTCTTTCCACACCACCAGAAAAC